TGTTCAACTCCCTCTGAATTATCATAAGAATCCAAGAGCCTCACATCCTCCAAATCGCCGAAGTCGCCGCCGGCAACCATCTCCGGCGGCTTCCGTGCTCCGAGGGAGACTTGTGTCAGCTGGAGGTCCCTGGGACTCGGCGCCATTGGAAGGTACCGAGCCGATAAAAAAGCAGAGTAATTTATACAAAAATGGAGCGAATTGCTTTCCTTTCTAGAGAGAGAGAAAACGAGAGCTTTTGTAGATAGAGAAGGGAGGAGGAGACTTTTCCGAGGGAGATGGTGAGACAGCAATTTTTTAACTAAAGTTTTGGGAGCTGGTGGGAATGAAGGGTGACGTTTTTACAATTTTGCCCACGGATATTTTTGGTAATGACTAATGGGGCTAGGTACTCCCTACTGGAGTTGTACTTCTCCTTGGTGGTTTTGTACTGCACGAGCACGAAGAAGGTGGCTTGGGGCAATTTGGCGTGTGTAAATTGCAATGGTGGAGACCAATGAAACAGTCTAAAAACTAGAAAACGTGTCGGAAGCCCATAGAAAAAGTTTTCCTTCTGGTTTTATAGAACCGTCGTGTCTATCTTTCTTTTCGCGTGAAAATTTATACGACCATTACAACTAAATTCTCTCCTAAATTAAGTGCTAAATGTTGATTACGTGCATGTGTTGTGCATGTAACCTTGTGTTGTTGTTAGACCATTACAACTAAATTCTCTCCTAAATTCAGTGCTAAGTGTTGATTACGTGCATGTGTTGTGCATGTAACCTTGTGTTGTTGTTAGACCACTGTTATGTTACCAGATTATGAATTATTAATATAATAAGATAATATATTTAATGCAAATGATTTGTAAATTAAGTGATTAAGAGTAATTATTCTTGCACGTGAGATCTTATGTTTAGATTCCCTTCTTTTAATATTACTTGTATATATATATATATATATATATATATCTTAAAGGTTGAAATTGATAGTCAAACATTATATAGTTGAAGGAATTTCATGATTGTATATCTTCTGGTTTTTTGCTTAAGCTAAGGATTATATATCTTTTGTTTGCTAATAATGAAATATCCTTTTTAGTGATAATGAATTATGCTTTCTCAACCCTTTTATTAGTAATTATTCAACCTTTATCAGCCAAAAAGAACAGTAATGATTTAACTTATGGATAAAAATATTAAACTTCTCAAGGAAAAAAAAAAGTTTACTTTCAGTACAATTTTATATTATTTTGCAATCCAATCTATCTTTCCCATAATACTTGGATATATCATGTGCACGGGCTCGTCAATGGGCCGGGCCGGGCTAGCCCGGCCCAAATTTAACGGGCTTGGGCCGGGCCGGACCGGGCTTTAAAGAGGAGAGATAAAATATCGGGCCGGGCCGGGCCGGGTTTTTTTAGAAAATTCAAAGCCCAAGCCCAACCCATAGGTCGGGCTTGAGAAAGCCCATTGGGCCGGGCTGGGCTAAGCCCAACGGGCCGGGCCGAAACGGGCCTACTTCATTCGAAAAAAATCATAAACTTAATCATAAGGGCATTTTAGTCTAAATTTGAGATTACACTCACTTAATTCCAATATTTTCACATCAAACCAAATTTATAAAATACTCTATAAAGTCACACAACTTAATAAGATTTTCCACAAAAATAATAAAACAAAGTATTATTTTTGAGGTTATTACATAATTAGACCATAATACGTTTTAAGAAATAATTTAAAAAAATAATAAGTATCAAAAAGATATTTTTTTTAAAGGATGGTATAAATAAATATGTAAATGTTTGGTGATGTGTTCAAGAAAAACATGATTATATTTGGTGGTAGTAGTATGATTATGTTTCGTGATATGATTATGTTTAGTGATATGATATATTGTTCATCTTATTTATATATATATATAATTGTTGTATTAATAATTGACACAAATTAATGTGCTAATCATCCAATTATAAACTAGGAATGAGTAAAGAAAAGTAAATGAAATGAAACAAATTATATATGTGATTTAAGTGATATAATCCTAATCCTAAACTCTTATTTATACATAATTATATATCTATGCGGGCCTAACGGGCCGGGCTTTTGTGGGTGGGCCGGGCCGGGCTTTCTTGGGCTTAATCGGGCCGGGCCTATGGGCCGGGCCGGGCTTCAGACACCCAAGCCCAAGCCTAGCCCGGCCCAAGGCGGGCCGGGCCATCTCAAAGCCCATAACGGGTCGGGCCGGGCTTTTTTCCAATGGGCCGGGCGGGCCCCCATCGGCCCATGAGCCCGCGGGCCAAATGATGAGGCCTACAGTGCACCCTACGCCTAAACTATCAAACCCAAGGGCAAGAGCATAAGCATAAGCAGATGGGAAGTCATAATTCCAAATAAGCTACATTAGTAACAAAATTACCCTTCATATGAACACGGGTTATTAGGCAGTCTGACATAATTTTCTTTGAGACCTATTATTGGCACTTTACAAAAGTCATCGTGCACTCCTAAAAGTGTTATACAAATCTAATAAAACTATTATAAATTTGGTTTGTTTCAATAAAACAATGCGTTTAAACTAATTTGCACGCATTATCAATTTGAAGGTAGATTAGATGTTTGAAATAGTTTTTGTCCTCTAAAGTGTGCATATTTACATAAGATACTAAATTGAAAGCTCACATTGTCAAACTTTCTATTTCTAATTTGGCCATATATCCTTCTTTCAACATCAAAATGTAATGGGGGACCAAATAATTTTTTTGGGTAAGTTTGGCTTTGAATATCTTTCCACACGAGGCTAAATATAGGGATTGACCGATCTCTCGAGGTTTAAATAGAATCACTAATCCCAAATGATATAGTCCGATTTTTGTACTAGTTACTTATCCTATTTCAATAATATACTATCGCCATTCTTTCCAAAAGAAAAAAAAAGAATCACCAAGAAAAGAAAATGTATAAAGAAAATCAAACTCATGTATTAAAATAGAATATCGGGTACCACAATATTAGTTTGGTCCCCTGGCCATGTGCCATGTGCTTTTTTATCTCATTTTGTTTTCCTTATAAAGAGTCGTCAGAAACGTGCAATTTAATGCCCGGTTGGTCCCAATGTAAAGCTTGCCTGACCTGACCTGACCTCTGAATTTCAAAAGGGAAAAGAAAAAGAAGTTTTGGACTTGTAAGAGGGTAGTTTTGGAACTACAATTCTACGACTGAATTTCTTGGGAGGCTGTGTTGGGTATAACGTAAGGGCGTGGCGTTTGTTTTGCGTACCTTGCACCGGCCACGGCAGCCGTCGGACGCTTTGACCAGTCTTTATGTCCACGTTACGCTAGTGCTTACGCAGATGACTTTCTCATCGCACCTAATTGCTGATGTCAGACCCAAAAAAATAAAGCCATAATTGCCGGTGAGAAATTTTCTTTATATTGTTGTGAAAACCCCAACACAACAAAAATCATAATTATCACAACAAATGTAGGATAGGGTGTATATTATACCATGTCCTTATGTGAATTATTTTTTTTAAGGTTTTTCGACAATCGGATATTTTGAACAACTAATTTACGAGGAGAAAGCTTTGAACTATAATAAAAAAGACCAGACATATTGATCTAGCCAATTGACCTAATTTAGGTCTCATATCAGGTCTAATGTAAGTGTTTTATTTTAGAGGGCATGTCATTCAAAGCCATTTTGTGAGGGATAAAGTGTTTGTTGGAAAGATGACATGCTTTCCACTTACCAGAAAGGAGAAACAAAAGTGTGAGCAATATTCCACTAAGGCACGAAATTAACCAGTAGAATACGACAGGTAATGGCTCATGCAAATGCAAATGCAAATGCAAACAACAATGGGTCTCCTCATCCTTCCACCAAAGCGCATATCCTAGTCGACCCACGTCAACAAATGGCAAATCTGGCTGAGGTGGCACCTCAATCTCCCATGCCCATCCAACGTGGCAAGTTTGGAATACCAACAAACACATGTACTCCATGGACAATGGTATTATAGTAATTTCAGCCAGTATAATTAGGTGATCTCCTACCTAGTCTTTATAAGCTACTAAATCCATCAAAATCCATCCACCCCAACCCAACCCAACCCAATTGCTTTAAGTCTATGCCATCTCCCTCCCTCCATGGGATGTCCTAATCAAAAGGGTTTTAATTTTAATTTGAAGTATGGTGTTCTTGGTGAATGACAGGTGATCTAGAGCAAGAAGTTGGTGCAACGTCTACGACCAAAATTAGTTATTAACTTGTGACTTGTGACTTAGACTAATTGATCCATTAACAAATCTAAGTTAGGGTTTGCCACAATTTTTAAAGAATTCTATAAGATACTATAACTATATATGTTTATATAATGCTTCTTGTGTTATGGATGGATTGATGTTGACCCAACACTAACTCAAAATTCATTTATGATTTACTAAACATGGAAGATAAATATTTTTCATTTCATTTGGTCCTCTTATTTCTTAACTTCTTCACTAGGCATATATCACATTTTGAATGCAAGTGTGGTTGCTGAATTTGGTTACGACAATTTTATTTTTTTCAAAAAGAAAAAACTATTGCACTTACACAAAAAGTGTGAGAGTTTTAAAAGATGCAGTGTCGAGAAAATCTCCCTACATGATATCCGGTATTTCTTAAAAAATGGAAGTGTCGAGAAAATCTCAATTTTGCACAATTTTTATTTAACTTTGTTCTCATTTATTGACATGATTGATTATTTAGAATATAGAATTGTCCGAGCTCCGATTAGGTTTTAAGATTTAGATTTCGACTCAAAATATATCTGGACCATGGACCCAAAAGCAAGCCTGCCTGGGTCTGGAGATCCCAGCCCAATCGTCCGCAGAAAAAATCATTGTTAGCTGTGGGCCTCCAATTGTGATGGCTCATAGCCCATCTACCTTTTATTGATCTTTTTTTGTTCTCTGAAGACCCGTTTTGATTCTCTGTCTTAAACCCCCACGGAAAGAAACGAAGCGAGACACAAAAATGGCGAGGAATTCTGGGGTTCTGGCGCGACAATTGCTTGGCAATCGCAACAAGCTCTGCGCAGCTCTTCTCAATCATCATCACAAGCTTCCTTCTAATTCTTTCCAAACTCTAGCTTCAATCTTGACCACACTATCTTCATCACACACAACCCCTTCCAAGTCCGTTCATCACTTCTCGAACCCTCATTTTCTGCAACACCGACCCCTCTCCTCACCCTCAGGCACTCCTATTTCTGTTTATATTTTTTGTTTTTGGTGTTTCCATTGTTTTCTTTTCACAAAGTTTTCAGTTTTTGGGTTTTGTAATATCTTATTAACTTGAGTTGATTATTGAATTTCAGGACCCTCAAAAATTGTCCCCATTAGGTCAGAGAATGAATATTGTAGCGCAATTAACATGGTTCAAGGTATATTTACTTGGGTTTTCTCTGTAGTTGCTTAGTTTTAAGAAAAGTCATCATTTTCATACAATTTTTACTTATTTATTGAATTTCAATGAGATAGATAAAGCTTTGCCAGCACTCTTCTACTTCACGGCAGTCTGGTGCGGGCCTTGTAAGTTTCTGAAGACTTTTACTTTCATTAATGAAGTCGTTTACAGCAACAGTACCTTGTTAAAGCATTTTTAACTTTGGTATTGCTCTTCTTGTGCAGGCAGGTTCATATCTCCAGTCATTGGAGAGTTGGGTGAGCAATACCCACATGTGACAACATATAAGATTGACATTGACGAGGTTCGCATTAGAATTTAGTTTTCTGCAAACTGAGATAATTTTGCTGGGAACCAGTTTAGTTCTTTTGTAGCCTGTTTGAATCCCATCTTAAGGTCAAAAGAACTCAATTGTTGTCAATTGTGCAAGATAATGAAACCTAGTATCTTGTCAATTGTTTTTATTGTTCAACCTGACATTGTTTATTCTAACTATAGGAAGGCCTTGCAAACACTCTGGGCAAGCTGAATATTTCCTCTGTGGTAAACGATTTGCTCCTTTTCTTTTGTTTGAATGTAATTGTCCCCTATTTAGCTTTACGGATTTAACTGCTCATGTGTATGACCTTTGGTTTTTAGAATGTTGGTCATCTATAGCTTCTTTTATTATGGCTTGGCACCCGTGGGCTGTTCGTTTTAGCATGCCCTTTGAATGGGTTATAATAACTACTGTGGCTTCTTAGTGCATTCTTTATGTTTCATCTTGGATAGTGTTAAAACAAGTTCCATTTGGTTCGTGGTCTGAAGCTTTTAAAAATTAGATACTTTGCTCATGTGTGCATTTTGCTGCAGCCAACATTCCAATTCTTTCAAGATGGGAAGAAGGTAGCTGAAATTATTGGTGCTGATGTTGCACGCCTGAGGGACACTTTTGGAAAACTCTACAAGTAATTCTTTACTACGTTGCATTTCACCTGTGTGCTTCCTTGTGTCATTATATTGATGCCTATTAATTTTTTATCGTTCAAGTTTTCGCCAACTATGATCAATTGTATAGCTCAGTTCTGTATGAAACCCCTATTGTAGGATTTTCATTTCATGGGGGTATGTATCTTAAACAATTGGTGTTGATGATGCTTAGAAGGTTGCCAATATAAAAAAGTCCCAGTTACATACCTTATAACTGCATAATTGATATGTGCTTTTGTCTTTAGATCTTATGAGTGGACCAAATAGTGTATCAATTGAGAAGCAAAAAACCAAAAACTATGCGGGTTCTGAGGCTCATAGTTGAGAGGTTGAGACTCGAGATCTTTGTAATTGTAGTTTATTGTCTACTTGAATGTGTATTAAGAAATATTTTTTAAAATAAAAAATAATAGAAAGGAAAACATTTTGATGGTGTAGCAATTGTTGGGTTCAGTATGTTGAAATATTTGGATTACTCATGTTTTATCTGTTCAACTTGTTTAAGTAGTTTCCAAAGGGGTGCTTAAAATTCAGATTCTTGGGCATGTTTCTGAATCTGTAGTCCATATCCGCTTGAACTGCTCTAGCATGTTAATCGAAGACAAAGGCACATTTATGCATAGTTTGTAGTTTTCTGTTGTATGATTTGGAATTATGGCTGAGTAATTTGTTTGTGTTCCAGGCAGGAATGATTGAGTACGATTCATCCGAGACCGGAATAAAAGAGGATGATTAATCCAGATACGCTTGTATAAAGAGATTCTAAGATTCTATTTATGCGAGCAAGATGATTGTAAAACTTTCTTTTCTACTATTAACAGTAACTTCTTCGATAAGTTTGGTTTTTGAAGTTGTCATCAAATTTTTACTAGTTTTATGATAAATTAGTTAGTAATATCTACAGCCTACAAGCACTCAAGTATTTTAATTTCAAATACGAACTAAACTTTCTAGAGTTGAAATCTCCTATCCAAATGGAGTTATAAATGAGTAAATTTTCCATCCCCAAAGCTATGGTTTGCACAAAACTATGATTTAGGAAACTAATATTATTTTTATTTTTAAATTAAATCGAGATGAATTTGGGTAGGTGAGTTGTATTTTATATTTCAATTGTATGTAGCTTAGTTAAATGATAGTTTAAACTGCATTTAAAGTGTTTGAATGTGATATGCATTTACAAATTTATTTAAGAAGTATAGCCGCTCGGCTATACCCTTAAAAAACTATACCCTTTTTTAAAAGAGTATTACCATGCGGCTATGCTGTTTTTAATTCTAAAGCATATAGCCGAGCGGCTATACAGTATTAAAATTTTGAAATAGTATAGCCGAACGGCTATACTTTAGTTTTATTTTTATTTTTATATATATTTTTTATTTTTTTTAAATTGTACGACCGTTCGGCTGTACGTTTAAAATATTATTTAAAGCGACTTATTCAGGTTAATGACTTACTGTTGTCTTTGATCACTCTCTCTTGTTGGTCATGGACTCAAATCTGTTACCCTCTTTAAAACATTGGATGAGAGATGTTCTAGCTTAGTTAAAAGATTGGATTCTGCAAAGCAAGAATGATTTTAGAGAAAAGAAAAATACGAACAGGTCATATCAAAGCACAAGGCTGATGAAGATCAAGCTAGTTCTGTTGAAGCAAGCTCAGTCTGCTCAAGAGGAGGCTCAGGACTGGAAACAAAAGCTGCTCTAGAGAAAGCTGCAGTTGTCCAAGAACGTTCGAATACGGAAACACAAAAGAGAGAAGATGCTTTGAGGGAAGAATTTGCTACTAGTTTGGCTGAGAAGGTGATCCTCTCTCTCTCTCTCTCTCTCTCTCTCTCTCTCTCTGTGGACTAGTTGACTTGTTGAGAGTGATCTAATTGTATTGTTCTGATTTACTCTTGCAATTGTTAGTTGTTGTGAGTTGGCTTTATGTTAAAAATATGCAGAAAACTCAACACCCACCAGCTTAGTTCTGCCTTGGCTTTATGTCTCCTCCATATTAAGAACAGAAACAATTCCGTTCTACTCTTATTATCACAAGTGCTTTCATGCATTAGGCCAATGCCAGTCAAAAATCCGATGATTCATATGACATTTAAGGGCTGGTAAGGACAAATTAATATCAAATGATTGTTGAGTAAAATTAAAATTAATTTTTTGTATTAATTTTTCTTCATCTTTCATGCCCTTTTTACATGTTTTCTTATCTCTTCACCCCCCACCAAAGAAGAAGAAGAAGAAGAAGAAGAAACTCTGAAAATCGACCTAGGCGGCCGCCTAGGAGGCTCCTAGGCGCTAGGCGGCTGCTGCTGGGCTCACCTTATTTCAAGGCGCGCAAGAGGAGATTATGGAGGCAGAGAAAGATGAGAGACGATGGAGGTAGAGAGATATGGGAGGAAGAAGAAGAAGAAGAAACTCTGAAAATCGACCTAGGCGGTGCCTAGGCGCTAGGCAGCCGCCTAGGCTGCTCCTAGGTGCTAGGCGGCTGCTGCTGGGCTCAACTTATTTCAAGGGCGCGCAAGAGGAGATTATGGAGGCAGAGAAAGATGAGAGACGACGGAGGTAGAGAGATATGGGAGGTGATGGACGTTCAATCCCTTGTTGCCCACAAAGAAAGAGGTACATAATTGCAGTGGAATTAGAGATACAAAAAATTGGGTAGGTACATAATTGCAGTGGAATTAGAGATACAAATTTGGGTTCTGTTGACTTGTTTGATTTGAATAAGGCTGTGTTGGAGTTTGATGATACTTATGCTTATGGATACAAGCAAAGGTTTTTTGGAAGAAGCTGCGCTGCTGCGCGAGGAGGAAGAAGAGAGCGAACGCATGTTTAGAGGAATAAACCTTTTTCTTTTTCCTTTTTTGAGAGAGCAAACCCATTTTTTAAGGAGCAAACTGTGCTGCACGTTTTTAATTGTTATCAAAATGCATTTAATTTGGTTAATTACAGGTATTAATTGGTTTTTAGTTTTATGTTTTGAACTTAGTACTGCTCGTTTGGTACACAGTATTAGACTCTTGATAGGAGTAAATAGTCAATGTCAAGTGTTTGGTGTCAACTTGTATTATTTAATTACCTGACTAACTAATACAACCCACACACCCCGGTTTAGATAATACACGCTTAATTATACAGCTAGGGAAAAAGAACACACATGTTCACATGAAAAATCCGATGATGCTATTTTCATCTTATTCTCCCTAGGGTTCTTCTCTACTATCTTCTCCAAAGTTATTCTCTTCACTCTTCCCCAAGTATCCATCTCTCTCTCTAATATCCTTCTTCTCTCTCCTTCTGTCTTCATCTTCTCTTTCTTTATATATTGCCTCTTTTATTTAATTTTTGTGGAACTTAGGTTATGAGTTTTTCCTTTTTGATGTTTTTTTTCTTGCTGTATTGAAAAAATGAATACATGCGGCTCTGTATCTTACTCAACAATCAAATACTCAAATTATCATCATGTGGCTGTGTATCCAACTCAATACATGCTGCTGAGTTTTTCTTGTGTTTTTGTCTTTATATATGAGATACTACAATTATGATAATGGGTTATATGAAAAATAAAATAAAATTTCTTGGCAAAAATAATTGAAAAACAAATCTTGTTATATGAATCTTACCAAAAAAAATTCGTGTAACTTGAATTTCAATTTCCACTTAAATTATCAAAGAATTTTTTGCAAAAAATAATCTAATATGATGTCATTCGGAACATCACCAAATACAATATAACTTAGTCAGACTATTTATCCGGAACAACACCAAACGCCTTATAATATTATGGATAAACAGTCAATACTTTTTGGAACAGATTAATACTATCCGATAGAAATTAGTCAGTACAGTCCGACGTATCAAACGAAACTATCAAATTGCATCCTTAATGTTTTTTGTGTCATTCGTGGTCCTCAAGGTTATTATGTGTGATCACAAATGATCCTTGCCGTTAGGTTCTATTAAAAACTAAATTAGTTTGCTGATGTGGCATATATATCACAAAATATTCCTGAGATTCACGCACCTATCACAATTGGTCCCAGTGAAAATTTTTAATTTAAAATTCATAAATTTTTTGTTTTCTTTTTAAATTTTTAAAAAATTATATATTGTATTTTAAATACATGTGACACTATATTTTTGAAGATGTGGGCTCCACATATATGCAATATCAACAAATTAATGAAGTTTTTTTTTAAAATAATTTGAAATTCATAAAATTTAAAAATGAAAAAACCATTTATAGAAGATTTTAACCTTGAGGACCATTTTTTTGAGGACATTTTCTATTGAGAGGGACGATAACATACTAAACTGACACACTACATGAATGCTATGACTCGAACTCAGGACCTTGCCTGAGGGAGAAAATACTTCAACCCACTACATTAACCCTTGGTTTTTTCATTTTTAAGTTTTATGAATTTTAAATTATTTTAAAAAAATTCCATTAGTTTGTTGATATGGCATATATGTGGAGCTCACATCTCCAATAATATAGTGTCACGTGTATTTAAAATACAATATATATTTTTAAATAATTTAAAATTCATAAAATTTAAAAAAGAAAACCAAAATTTTATGAATTTTAAATTAAAAAATTTCGCAGAGACCATATGTGATAGGTGTGTGAACCTCAAGGATGATGTCAGCAAACTAACGGAGTTTTTGACGGAACCTAACGACAAGGACCATTTGTGATCACACATACTAACTTTGAGAATCACGAATGACACAAAAAAACATTAAGGATGTAATATGATAGTTTCGTAAACCTTAGGGATGTTTTGTGATATTAAGACTTTATATTATTTTAATGGACAGTTACATCAATTAAAATTATATTAACATTTTCTTTTTTTTTATAAATGATTTATTGACACTTTTTAATTGATGTGGTTGTCCACTTCATCTGTCACATAAGATGGTATAAGAATGTGGAGAAATTTTTAGCATTACTCCTAACTTAATAATTTAATATAGCTAAAACTTAGCTCTTTTTGGCTAGGATAGATGCTCCTGCATCAGGATGTAAGCATCAGAAAGAAGAGGTGGAGGAGATCGAGGTGGGGAGTTTTGCCGTATCGACGAATCGTACCGTATTGGCGTACCCATATCCGTATCCGTGCAACATAGGCTGCCATGGCCATGGCCCCTCAAGAGAAGAGCTTTCAATATCAACATGGATAGTGATATTCTTTCCTGTTCCTAAATTATAATCTGTTTGGTTCATATTACGGCTTACCAACTTGGTGTGGTCTGTGGAGTCTGTTTCCTGTAGCTAGTAATATCAGCTAGGATCTATGAACCCTGCATCATCTATGTGTCTATTTGTGTGTGTAGAGTACGTGCTTAGTGAAACATATACCTCCCCACCATCCCCCAAATCCTCCTTTGCCTTTGTCTGTGTAGGAGTTGAACCTTTAACCCCATGCCTGGCCTGTCTACATTTTAAAGAGAGATTGTAATAGGTGAAACAGAGGAGACTTGAGCTCCTTGTTCCGTTTGATGAATGGTTCTTAAAGGAGGATGAGGAAGATAAAGGCAGGAGCTTGTGGAGATGTAACAGATATTCAGAAGTACGTCTGAGATGAGAGACTCTTTCTACGCAACAAAAGGGCATTTGAGCCCAACATATATTGGTATCTTTTGTGTGCAATTTGTGTCATAAAGAATAAATGAAAGTAGGACATGATGTTTACAAGAAGAAAGAGAAGGGGTGCGGGGAGGAGGAGTGAGAGAAACAGCTAAATCGCAGTTTCCTGCCCTTTTTCTTCTTGCTCTGCTGTGTCAAGCTCTCTAAACTTTGTCCTCTAAATGACATGGCGCATTCGGGTCTTCTTTGTTCCCTAGTGATGAGCCACTTAGAAGACGGAGGCTTTTTCTTGGGGAATGAAATATCACTTTGTTGAGGAGGGCAAGCATTGGAGCAAATACGCTTCAACTTGAGCAGTGCACAACTGCAATTGCGATGGTATGGCCTATGCTCAATCTCCATATCATGCATTGATATACTTACTTCAATGACACTTTGAAGCATCATGGCAGCTACTCCAGTGGCCATTTCTCCTACCTCTCTTTTTCTCCTAAGCTTTCTTTGTAAAGGTTTGAGTGCGGGTGTGAATGTGTGAATTAAATTTCTTAAATTTTTTGCTTGCTTTCTGCTACATATGTTTTTTTGAAAGTGCTTTCTATTACATATTTATATAGAGCAAGGATGGTATTTCTTCACGGAAGTGTTGGAGTAACCAAGAGTAAAAATTTTGTAAGTTTCATTAACTCATTGAGCTCAGGAGAAGTTTGCTATGTGGTTCTTGCAAAAGCATTATTCTTTTTAGCTTTTGTTTTCATGTGGCCTTGTCAAAGTAGTTATACAACAAGGCAATTGTTTTTTCTTTAGAAAATCAGCTTCTCTATTTGTTGGTAAACACTATCAAAACATATAGATGCAGGGCGTTTCTATTTGTTGGTAAAAGAAATCTAATACCAGTGTGAATACTTGTTTTACTGCTTTCATCAATTTCATGGTCATTTCTATGCAGGCTTTGTTATCTTGATGACCTTGTACGTAAAGTTGCTTCCGTTTATTTTGAGAAACAATGTGCTGATATGATATTTGCAATGCATATCTGTGCGTCGAGACTCCATGCATGTGTCGTGTTGGTTTGTACGATGAATTTTAAAATGGTTGGCTTTATTTTTTGTGATATGTTGGTAACACAATGCAACTGTCTTATTTTGTATGTACTTAGATCTGTAAGTGAACTTCTCATAAGCTCCAATTATAGTTTTCATGTATGTCCTTAGATCTGTATCTGAAGTAATGTAAGTAGTTACAACCTATTTTAAAACTGAACCAAAAAGTTGGAATTTTATACTTTAAAATTATACATTTAGTTCGCATATAAAGCAAAACTGTCATGTATATATATATATATATATATATATATATGTATATCTTGTATTTTCCAGAGACTTAGGTTGGTGATATTATCAGTTGCTTTAGGGTTCAAAACTCCCAATCTCCATTTTTACTTCATTATTGATTTGCAAGGTGCATGGTGTGGCTGCATTGCATCTATGTGCTCTCTCTCTGTAATTTTCTCTCTCGTGCAATGCAAGATGAGAGACTCCATGTCAAGAAGGATGTTGTTAGCTTGATGCCCCATTCTCTTCCACTTGTCGTCACTTCACTCACTTTTTACCGTAAGTCTGGTCAACTGATGTGTTTTTCCTTTCAAGCCATTCTTTCTAGATTCAATATATATACTCTTGGTATGATTAGGGCTCATACATAGTACATCAGATGTATATAAGAGAGTGTTACCACTCTCTCTCTCTCTCTGTGGACAGTGGATGCTAGTTGACTTGTTGAGAGTGATCTAATTGTATTGTTCTGATTTACTCTTGCAATTGTTAGTTGTTGTGAGTTGGTTTTATGTTAAATGCATAAACTCAACACCCACCAGCTTAGTTCTGCCTTGGCTTTATGTCTCCTTCATATTATAAGAACAGAAACAATTCCGTTCTACTCTTATTATCACAAGTGCTTTCATGCATTAGGCCAATGATTGTAAGTCTCTCTTGTAGGATTTTCATTTCATGGGGGTATGTATCTTAAACAATTGGTGTTGATGATGCTTAGAAGGTAGCCAATATAAAAAAGTCCCAGTTACATACCTTATAACTGCATAATTGATATGTGCTTTTGTCTTTAGATCTTATTAGTGGACCAAATAGTATAGCAATTGGGAAGCAAAAAACCAAAAACTATGCTGGTTCTGAGGCTCATAGTTGAGAGGTTGAGACTCGAGATCTTCGCAATTGTAGTTTACTGCCTTGAATGTGTATTTAGAAATACTTTCAAAAATAAAAAATAATAGAAAGGAAAACATTTTGATGGTGTAGCGATTGTTGGGATCAGTATGTTGAAATATCTGGGTTACTCATGTTTTATCTGTTCAACTTGTTTAAGTAGTTTCCAAAGGGATGCTTAAAATTCAGATTCTTGGACATGTTTGTGAATCTAAAGTCCATATCCGCTTGAATTGCTCTAGCATGTTAATAGAAGACAAAGGCACATTTGTGCATAGTTTGTAGTTTTCTGTTGTATGATTTGGAATTATGGCTGAGTAATTTGTTTGTGTTCCAGGCAGGAATGATTGAGGACGATTCATCTGAGACCAGAATGAAAGAGGATGATTAATCTAGAAACACTTGTGGATAAAGAGAATCTAAGATTCTATTTATGTGAGGAAGATGATTGTAAAACTTTCATTTCTACTATTAACAGTTTAAACTTCTTCGATAAGTTTGGTTTTTGAAGCTGTTATCAAATTTTTACTAGTTTTATGATAATTAGTTAATAATATCTACAGCCTACAAGCACTCAAGTATTTTAATTTCAAATACGAACTAAACTTTCTAGAGTTGAAATCTCCTATCCAAATGGAGTTGTCAATGAGTAAATTTTCCATCCCCAAAGCTATGGTTTGCACAAAGCTATGAGTTAGGAAATTAAGCAGACATGGTTTTAGCTAAGTCAGTTAGAATGGATGTGTTCATTATTACTCTGCATTTGAATTCGAATTCCCTCTCCATAGTTTAGTGTTTTTTTTTTTTTTTTTTTTTTTTTTTTTTTTATAGTACGATAGTCTGGAGGAGAGGAGTATTTCTCACACACATACAACTATGATGCCATGGAGGTTCGAACTTGATACCTCCAATCTGCAAGGTAAGACCCTTTTCTGGGCTAGACCACATTGGCCTCCATAGTTTAGGTTAGATTAGATTAGAAAAGAATGTCATTTGTAAAAATAAAAATAAAAAATAAAAAATAAAAAATAAAGGAAATTAAGCATAATAGAATTTCGACCAAAACAAAAAGAACAAAATTGTATCGTCGGGCTCGATGCTTGGGCTGCTAAAACAAGTCCATATGGCAGAGTGGTATAAATTTTGCGACAAAAGAGTTTAGCTTTTGGTGTGGATAATATGATTTTTATTTTTATTTTTAAATTAAATCAAGATTTATTTGTGTAGTTGAGTTGTATTTTATATTTCAATTGTATGTAAGTTAAATGACAGTTAAAAGTGAATTGTAAGTTTTGATAAAATAAAAATAAAAGTATGAATTTTAAGTGTTTGAATGTGATATATATTTTAAAATTTATTTAAGCTGTATAGCTGATTGGCATCGGCTATACCCTTTTTAAAAAGAGTATCACCTTGACCCTTTTTAATTTTTTAATTCTTAAGCGTATAGCCGAGCGGCTATACATTGTTAAAATTTTGAAATCGTATAGCCAGTCGGCTATACTTTAGTTTTTATTTATTTATTTTTAAAATAGTACGACCGAGAGGCTATACGTTTTTTAATTTGAAAATATTTAAAATTCATAAAATTTAAAAAAGAAAACCAAAATTTTATGAATTTTAAATTAAAAAAATTTCTCAGAGACCATTTGTGATAAGTGTGTGAACCTCAAGGATGTTTTGTGATATATATATATATATATGACACGTTAGCAAACTAACAGAGTTTTTGACGGAACCTAACGGCAAGGACCATCTGTGATCACACATACAAACTTTGAGAACCACGAATGACACAAAAAAACATTAATGATGCAATTTGATAGTTTCGTAAACCTTAGAAATGTTTTGTGATATTAAGCCTTTATATTATTTTAATGGACAGTTACATCAATTAAAATTATATTAACATTTTCTTTTTTATATAAATGATTTATTGACACTTTTTAATTGACATGGTTGTCCAATTCACCTGTCACATAAGATGGTATAAGAATATAGTATATGAATGTGGTAAGAGTAGCATTACTCCTAACTTAATAATTTAATGGGGTTCTTAGATCTAGGTCTAGAACGATTAGCTGCCATTGGCTTTAGTCCACACGTTTTTTGTTTTAGATATTGGTCCTTTGACTTTTATTACTCTTTTTATTGTGTCGATTTTACCCTTTGAGGTACATAAGGAAAACATTGAAAATCTAAATTTAATGAATTATTTACTTGTAATTAAATTTCAGAATTTAAATTTGGAATTCTTTCATTGATAATATTTACCTAATATATGGGTAAAATACAAATTAATCAATTGAAGTAAAGGCCCACATATTATACTAATCAATTAGGCATGCACCCACATGAAATTATGTACCTAACATACAGGTAAATAGTGTTCTTATTAGCAACGAAAAAACTTAGTGATAAAAACGTGTTACCTATAAGTCATGAGCATAAATTAGAATACTACCTATAAGTTATGAACATAAATTATGAACATAAATTATAAGTTATAAACGTGATAAATCTGACTACCTATAAGTCAGATACAAAAATAGACAAATAAAATTGTATGTTACCTATAAAAAATGTACATAAAATACTATTATTTATTGTCTAAAATATGAAAAAACAAATATATACCTATGCTATGCAATAGGCAATATGACAATATACCTACACCATAGGATAATTTATCTACAAGAGTATGTACTATACCTCTACCATAGGGTGAACAAAAATAAAAATAATGGCATATAAATTCTCATCTTACTCTCATTTTAGACAATAGGGATATAATAGGAACAAAATTTTTTAAATACAAATAAGTTAAATACAAAAGTTTGAATCAACATGTCAAAGATGAAATGTAATCTACGTGGCAAACTAGTCAAGGGACTTGTATTAATAAACAATAATTCGAGGACTAGACCCAATTATTGGTTGGATTTTTAGACCTCTATCAACTTTTCTAAATTATTAATTAAAACTCATCGGAAAATTCCTAGTTCTTTAGTTAATTACTTGTCTCTTCATTGACCCTTGGTAAAACTGTATAATGGGCGGTGAGATGTGAGATAATTGCTTGAGAATAGTCTGCAGGGGTTGGTTCAACTAATGCATTGAACATGTTGTTCAAGCTTTCACTTTGAATAATTTGATGAACTTTGAGGCACTGAAGATATGATCTTGACAAGGCTCGAAGGAATCGGGTTATGCTTGTTGGCCAGATGAAGGATGGGAAGAGATTTTTTT